TGGGGCCTGAACTCTGGGCCTGGGCTCTGTCCCTCAGCTTTTCAGCTCAAGGCTAGCGCTCTACCACTTGAGCCACAGCGCCACTTCCGGCTTTTTTTCTTTTTGCGTATGTGGTGCTAAGGAATCGAACCCAGGGCCTCATGCATGCAAGGCAAGCGCTCTACCACTGAGCCACCTTCCCAGCCCCCCAAGAGACTCTTATCTCCAATTAACCACCAGAAAACCAGAAGTAGTGCTGTGGCTCAAGTGGTAGAGCATTAGCCTTGAACTGAAGAGCTCAGGGACAGCTCCCATGCCCAGAGCTCAAGCCCCACAACTGACCAAAAAAAAGGGGGGGGGGCGTATAATCTTACTAATATTATGATGTCACCATTTTAGAAAATGTGAGATTTGTTGTTTTGTAGCCACACATCCTGATGGTTACATTTAGCAAACACATTTTTTGTGTATTAGGCAGGTGCTCTTCTACTTGAATCATTTACTCAGTCTTTTTTTTGTCAGTCATGGGGCTTGACCTCTGGGACTGAACCTTAGCTCTTCAGCTCTACCACTTAAGCCACTGCACCACTTCTGGTTTTCTGAGTGGTTTATTGGAGATAAGAGTCTCACAGTTTCCTGCCTGGGCTGGCTTTGAACTATGATCCTCAGATCTCAGCCTTCCTGAGTAGCTAGGATTACAGGCATGAACCACCAGTGCCCACTTTGCTTTTCTTTAAGCTATATATTTTTTTTTTTTTGGTCTTTTCTTTTTTGGTACTGAAGATCGAACCCAGGACATTGCACTTGCTAGTGCTTTGCCACTGAGCTACATCCCAGCACCCTTCTGCTTTTTTTATGTTTTGGATAGGGTTTTTTTTCTTCCCTGGGACTTCCTGGAGCAGAGATCCTCCTATTTTTGTCTCTCATTGAGTAACTGAGATTACAGGTTTATAATACCATACTTGGCTTATTTGTCAAGACAAAGTCTCACCAACTTTTTGCCGGGCTGGCCTTGAACCATGATCTAGCCAGTTTCTACCTCCCAACTAGCTAGGATTATAGACATAAACCACTCACTGTACATGCACCTGTTAAGTGCCTTTTATGTCATACATATTACTTTAAACTTCTTTCAGATAGGTGTCAGTGGCTCACTTTTATAATCCTAGCTACTCAAGAGGCTGAGATCTGAGGACTGCAGTTCAAAGCCAGCCCTGGCAGGAAAGTCCATGAGATTCATCTCCAATAAACTACTCAGAAAAACAAGGAAGTGGCACTATGGCTCAAATGCTAGAGCACTAGCTTTGAGCACAAAGAGGCTCAGGGATAATGCCCAGGCCCTAAATTAAAGCCCCAGGGCTAGCACAAAAACAAAAACAAAACAAAACAAAAAGTTGCCTAATAATTCCTTTCATGTAAAATAAAGTTTATTAAGCCAGAGTTAGTGGCTTAATATGAGCAAAATATCTGAACTCTTTGAGGCACACATTCCTCTTGTTTTCTTTTAGTACTATTTTTAGTGAAATTGAAGTAGAAATTTTGAACACAAATACAAAAATACCCAAGTGATATTTGAGGATACCATTAAACTATTTCCTTGGTGATTATATTCAACTGTAGGCTGCCATTATACCCTACCCAAGGCTTATTTTTAAAAACCAAAGTCTTCACTATACAGTAATTTCAGCTATAGAAATTCTTGGGTTCACATCATTGTGAGTGAAGAATTCTTCTTTCTGTTCTTAACTACTTGCAGCCCAAATTTAAATTTTAATCTGGCATACAACATACCTCTTTCATATATTGATTATACAGAGCTTCTGCCGATTCTAGGTAAGCCCGTGCAGTTTCAATTTCTTCCCTTTCAGACCATAAGATGCCCAGGTTATTCTGCAAAGTAGAGAGAGAAACAGACAACTTAAGACTTAAAGTAATATCCACAAGTTGTTTTAAGAAAGGGTGAGAGAAGTAAAGTGATACAGGAGGTGAAGTTGATGAGGTACATTATATGATTATTTCACATGGAAATGTCACAATGAATTCTCACTCTTATATAACTAATGTATGTTAATAAACAAAAATTAAAGTAGCATTTATAATTTCAGAGGATTTATTTTGGTGGGGATGGGGTTTAGACTAAGAGCTTGGAGCTTGCTAGGCTGGTCCAATATCCCTGAGCCATACCTTTAGCCCTAACACCCAAAATTTTAATGTTACTACTTACTGACTAGTAATGGAATTTGGTTAGCAATATGTTACTCATAATACTGACACACTGTGGTAGACAGCTGCTAAGATAGACATACAGTGACCCCTGCCTTCTGGTACTCCTTGCGCTAACCTCTTCAGCATGAGCATGGGCTGCAAGTAGCGATTTGCTGCTAAAAACTGGAATATGGGAGAAGGGATGGAAAATCACACTAAGATTAGGCTACAAAATACTATGGCATGCACTTATTATTTTACATAATAAAACATGTTTGCATTCTAGAGTGTTTTTGAGACAAAATCTTGCTATGTTATCCAGATTGGCCTCGAACTAATGTCCCTCCTGAGTTTTGTAATTAACCAAAGTGTACCACCATAGCTAGCTTTGAGTGTTCTTAAAATTATTGTTATAAAATTGCTGGGCACCTCATGTCTATGAAATCTGAAATCTGAGGGTTGGGGTTCCAAGTCAGTCAGAGCAAAGATCCTTTTTTTTTTTTTCCCCCTTTCCAAGTGGGGCTTGAGCTCTGAGCCTGGGCGCTGTCCCTCAGCAATTCAGGTCAAGGCTAGCGCTCTACCACTTGAGCTACAGTGCAGTTTCCAGTTTTTTTTTTTTTTTGGGTCCAGTCGTGGGCCTGAACTCTGGGCCTGGGCGCTGTCCTTCAGCTCTTCAGCTCAAGGCTAGCGCTCTACCACTTGAGCCACAGTGCCACTTCCGGCTTCCTTTTTGCTTATGTGGTACTGGGAATCAAACCCAGGGCCTCAGGCATGCAAGGCAAGTGCTCTACCACTGAGCCACCTTCCCAGCCCCAGTTTCCAGTTTTCTGGTGGTTTTTTGGAGATAAGAGTTTCTCAGACTTTCCTGCCTGGGCTGGCTTTGAACCACAATCCTCAGGTCTCAGACTCTGAGTAACTAGGATTACAGGCATGAGCCACCAGCTCAAGACTGTAAGGTTCTTATCTTCAATTAACCAACAAAAAGCAACAGGTGGATTGCTAGCCTTGAGCAAAAAGCACAAGGATCTGAGTTCAAGTCACATGACTGGTTAACACACACACAAATTATCCCATTAGCTGGGTGCCAGTGGCTCATGTCCTAAACCTAGCTACTCAAGAAGCTGAGATCTGAGAACCGAGGTTCAAAGCCAGCCCAGGCAGGAGCATTCCTCCAATTAACAACCAGAAAACAGGAAGTGGTGCTGTGGCTCAAGTGGTAGAGCACTCGCATTAAGCTAAAGAGCACCCAGGCCCAGAGTTCAAGCCCCACAACCGACCAAAAAAATTCCACCAAAGTCATTGATTCTTCTTTCTTCGTTTTTTTCCTTATTGAGCTCTTCTTTTTGGTTTCCATTGTACCAACTTCCTTCTGCTACCACAGATAATGCCAAGTATATTGTTGACCGCAAAGATCAGAAGGAATACCAGAGAAAAATTATTCCTACGCCACCAAAACCTAGTGAAAGTTTAACAATCATCTATGATGGGTCCTGTAGTTCCCCAAGGACAACAAATTGAAATGATGCACTTAAATATGAATTCCTATGACACCAAACATTTTACCCCAAAAGTAATCTTTCATAGATATCAAGGAAGAGTTTGATATTTTACCATGAGAAGACATTATAAATGTCAGGTGGGGTGTCACGCCTGAAAACCCAGCATCTGGGCAGCAGAGGAAGCAGGATCACAAATTCAAGGGAGCCAGGGCTATGGAGTGAGACACTGTCACACAATAAAAATAAGTCTCAACTAAAAGACACCATTATTGTATGAACAAGAAAACACTGCCAAGAAAACTGTAATACATAGCCGATCAATTCATAAGGTTCACCTCCATTTCAAAGATACTAAAATGTGAAAGATTGTAAATTTTTTGTTCTGCTCCTAGGTCTGGGCTTTGTCCCCGAACTTTTGCGGTCGAGCCTGGTGCTGAAATCCTCAGATCTCACTCAGTCTGCTGAGTAGCTGGGATGACAGGCGTGCGCCAATGGTGCCCTGTAACGTGGGCCTCTAGCGTGGGCCACGGGCCTGGAGGCCGCCGCCCCCGCCCCTCTCACCTGCGCCTGCACGTAGAGCGAGACGCAGCTGTGCGAGAGCCGGTACCGGCTCAGCAGCCTCAGGCTCTTCACCAGGTGCTCCTCCCCGGCCGACAGCTCCTCCGTGTCGATGTGGTTCACCCCGAGGTGGAACTCGAGAACCGCCAGCCGCACGGCCCGCTGAGCGGCGGGCCCCTCGGGCTCCACGGCCTCGGTGGGCGGCCCCAGGGCGTGGTCCCCCGCGCCCAAGCCCTCGTCGGCCGAAGGCCTCTCGTCCTCATCCTCCGGCGCGGGGCCGAGCAGCGCCTTGACCTCCTCCAGCAGCGCCCGGGCGGTGTATTTGGACTTGTACGGCTCCTTCTCCGGGTTTTTATGTAATTCCACCCGCGACAGGGCCAGGGCAGCCTGGAATTTCTCGCGGATCTCGGCCCAGGGAGCGGTAGCCATAGCGGCCTCCACAGACTGGGCAGCCTCCAAGCTTGCCGTCGGCACTCCCGCCTTCCTTCTGCTTCACGACATTTCACTTACGGCTGGAGGCAGGGCGAGAGCGCTGTGGAACGGCAACCAATGAGGTCCGCCAATGGAACCGCAGTATGCTGGGGAGTGGCCAATGGGAAGGCATAGTGGTCTCTATAGCAGTTATCGCCATGGAGACATGGCTGCCAATGACTCCTCCTCCAGGACTAACCCCGGTAGTGACTTCTCGTGCCTGGATGGATTGATGGATGTGGTGTACATAAAAATGATGGGCAGGGGCTGGGAAAGTGGCTCAGTGGTTAAAGCGCTTGCCTTGCATGCCGGAGGCCCTGGGTTCGATTCCTCAGCACCACATAAGCAAAAACAAAAAAGCCGGAAATGGCGCTGTGGCTCAAGTGGTAGAGCGCTAGCCTTGAGCTGAAGAGCTGAGGGAC